TTTATTTTTTTCCCCAACGTTTGATATATATGAACTGGACATGTAGGCAGAGGCATAAACATTCGAGTACTATGGCCATTTTGGCGAAGATGTCAATCTCGGGGAATGTTTATGAACTCTTATTTTCCCATCAGCTTATTATCAATGATGGAAGATTAGAGCTTTTTCAGCTATCTAAATAGAGGGGTAAAATTGGACTAGTTGTCACGTACAGGCCACGACCTTGAACCTAACTCAAGCTCGGAATGGTTGCAGCCTGATTCCAGACATGGTTCATACAAAGTTCCCGACATGCCAAGGGCCTTAGACCTGGATGACTCGACCCAATTTACACCCTTATCCTAATCAGTACAAAGAAAATACTTATTTTATTTGATTCCATTATTTGTAAAACAATGCGAAGCCAGCTGATCTGATAGCCCATTAATGAAGTTTAATCTTCTCTTGATATTATCTCTGTCTTAACCAAATAATTCCAAAGTTGCTACGGCCTTTGCACAAGAAAAATGTCATTTAATTTATGTCAGCAAGTGACAGGACTTAGTGAACACCAATGATGTTTAAATTCAACGAGAAGAAGAAAAATACGATGTTTTCAACAAATACTGTCGTTTTGATGCTTCAAAACCTATATAAAAGAAGAGAAACTGCAACAACAGACTTGTGCCGCTTGTTCAATTGCAAAGATGAGAAGTGCATTTGTTTTAGTACTCTCTCTTTTATGCCTCACTTCTTCTGTACAATGTTATGCTAAAAGAAAATATGGTCCTCTTGGAAAACTTATGGATGTGAAACACTCAAAAAGATCGATTGATTATCTTTCCGAGGATGATGTTGTCACCGAGTATTCACCAGTTTATATAGCATCTCAGAAAGGATTAAAAGAAGCTGACGAGATCTTAACTTTGCCTGGACAACCAAAGGTGAATTTTTCTCAATATTCAGGGTACGTAACTGTTGATCCTAAGGCTGGCCGAGCACTCTTTTACTATTTTACCGAGTCTGAAGACCCTTCGAGCAAACCTCTAGTGCTGTGGCTAAATGGAGGTAAGACTATGTGAAGTCACTAATAGTACAGGCCTTGCATGTTGCCACTTGGACGTATCTTTTTCTTATTATTACCTGTCACGTGTATCTTAACATGCTCATTTAAGTTTTCCTTAACATAACAAGGTGAATTTGCAGCTTGGTGATGCCACAACAATTATTACCGTGAGAATGCAAATAAAATTAACTAAAGAGCTTGCTCTACAACCTACTAGTTTGGCTGGAAATAAGAAGCGTTTCTTGTTCTTAGACTGTCATCTGGTGTATGAACTTGCATTCACCTTATTTTAGCAGTCTCAAATATCCTTGGAACTGCAGGACCTGGCTGCTCTTCAATAGGAGCTGGAGCAATGACAGAACTTGGACCATTTAGGGTGAATCCTGATGGCAAAACTCTATGGCAGAACCCTTATTCATGGAACAAAGGTGAGTACTTGCATTCCTAAAGCTAATTATCAAGAAGTATTCCTTTGAAAGTGCAGTGGCAAATAACAGAAGCCATGTTGCTGAAAATGCAGTTGCAAATGTCCTCTTCTTGGAATCTCCAGCTGGTGTTGGATTTTCCTATTCCAATACATCATCAGATTATATTACTGGGGACAAAAAAACTGCAGCAGATTCATATACCTTTTTAGTTAACTGGTTGGAAAGATTTCCAGAGTATAAAACTCGGGACTTCTACTTGACTGGAGAAAGTTATGCTGGTCATTATGTGCCTCAGCTTGCTGATTCAATTCTCGAGAACAACAAAATCACGAATCAAACTGTCATTAACTTGAAAGGAATTGCTGTAAGCTTCCTGATAATAATGCTGCCTGGTTATTTAATATATAAAGAATTGTAAAATGAATATGGGCATGACTTTTCAGATTGGGAATGCATACATCGACTACACAGATCGGTGGACAGGCACTTATGATCATTTCTGGACTAGTGCTCTCATATCTGATGAAATTCATGAAGGCATAATTTCAAATTGCAATTTTTCTTCCGAGGCTAAAGTTTCAGAAGTCTGCCAAGATTACACATATCAAGCCGATGAGGCCACTGGCAACATCTTCATCTATGACATTTATGCTCCCTTGTGCTCGTCCTCTTCAAATGCTCCCTCGGTATTTTCTTAACAATCATTGAAAAATATATATTTCTCTCCCCCCCATATTGGCATTCCGATATCTCACCTTCCGTCTGTTTCACAAAGCAGATATCAGGATTTGATCCATGCTCAGACGACTATGTCTTCGCCTATTTAAACACCCCTGAAGTGCAAAAGGCACTTCATGCTAACACCACTGGAGTTCCTGGACCGTGGGAAGATTGCAAGTAATGCATCTCCATCAAATACAGTACTAGATTGCTAGTTCATTTTAATTTTTCAATGATTTCCTCTATTAACTCCACTTAATTTCTATATAGCGATTCCATACAGATCGATTGGCAGGACATGCCAGATACAGTGTTACCTACCATAAAGAAGCTGATGGCTAGCGGGATTAGCGTTTGGATCTACAGGTATGATACCATTAGTGTTGCTAATGGTTCTTAATATAACATTTGTCATACTTGCTAAAAATTTCTGCCATGCCATGAAAACTTCTGTTAATTAACATTCCGGGAACTTTCGATGAATGTGCAGCGGAGATATAGATGGGATAATACCAGTTACAACAACTAGGTATTCAATGCCCAAACTTGGGGCACCAGTTAAGACTCCATGGTATCCGTGGGGCTCCCAAGGCGAGGTAATAAAGAAAAAACTCGCTTTATAACCTTCTTTAGCTCTTGTCGCCTCTACTATATATGGTATCCTAACACCCTTTCTTTATCCCTTTCAAGGTCGGAGGTTATGTAGTTGAATACGAAAATGTGACATTTGTGACCGTGAGAGGAGCAGGACATTTTGTTCCGAGCTACCAGCCTGAGCGAGCACTAATCTTCTTCTCATCCTTCTTACAGGGAAAACTTCCTCTGAAACAGAGCTAAACAGGAATAGAGACAAATGAGAATAAAATGTTTGAACTGATCTTTTTCGTGCTGTCTTTGTAAAGACTAATATAAGCAGGTCGCATCAAATTGATTAGATATAAATTTATGATGAACATTCAAAATTTGAATAGCATCCTATTACCTTATGTGACGTATGACAGAAACACATTTTGTACTAATATAATCACTAGCCACGAAACTAGTCGTTCTCCTGGTCTAGAAGAGCATGATGTTGGTGTTGCGATTTATATTCAGTAATATGTAAGTGGTTACAATGAGAACGTAAAGTCAAAAAACTAAACTAAAAACATCTAGACAACGAAAAAGACTAAACTACTTCTAAGTAGGGGTGTCCAAAAGTTCCGAACCGAACCGAATCGAACCGAACCCGAACCGAGTGGTTCTTCATAAATTAAATCCCGAACGGGTACCCGAATCGAGAACCGATGGGTTTGGGTCGAGTCTCGGGTCTAGACCAAGAACCGAAGAACCGAATAAGAATCGAAACTAAATAATTTTTTTATTTTTTTCATATTGAATTAATTAAATTATTTTATTTTTTTCTATACAGATTAGCAAATTAATTAAATAAATCAGATTATTTCATAATTTTATTTTTAAAGCCCAAATCATTTTTAAAATCCATTAGCACATTTTAATTTGAAACAAATGAATATACTTTATATAATTTTGCTGTAATATTAATATCTATTTTTTTGTATTTGTATGCATTGAATTAATGTTATTCGACGGCTAGTTATTTATAT